CAAAACCTGGTAAGAACTCTGCGCAACCCGACTTCATGGGGCGCGGGATGAGTGGGGAGGACGGTGCAGGAGGGGGGGGCTGGGAAGGAGGACGCCAGATACGCTCGAGCTTGATTGGAGAGGGCACGCGAGAGGACACAGGACCCTTCCGAGGGCCACGCTGCCACAGGAATGGAGTGTAGAGGGCGTGGGTCGCGGAGCACTGGACAACAGGGTACCCTCAATTTGGCAGGGTCGACCTACTAATCAAACTCGACCGTAGCGCAAGACGGCTCAAGAGAGCACCAAAACGCACAAGGGGACCCCAAGGGACCTCGAAGGCTACCCCACAGGAGCCTGGGGCAGCCCTAGGACGACCCAACTATGAGCTTCCCGAGAGCGACTCCAAATGTGAAGACGACAGGTGCTATATCTGACGCCCCAAGAATCTTTAAAGAGGCCCCGAGAGGTTCGAGGGGCCCCAAGAGGCTCTTGAGAGGCCCCGAGAAGATCTTCTGAGGCCCCACGAGGCTCTTCAGATGCACCTTGTCGGTTGCCAGGGCGGCTCTGGCCGCCCCTGCCTGCGCCAGTAGCCAGGTCCCCGGAGCATCCCTGGCCATCAGAAAATCCACTGGGCCACTCGACAACCCATCCGGCCACACACGGACTTTCTCTGCTCGAGGAAGAATTGCCTGGAGGAGGGTCGGTGGGAGGAGGAAGAGGAGAAGCGTAGCCGACCCTTGACCTCTTGACCCCTTACCCGCGGTCGGTGCTGCACCCCGAGCCGCTGCTCCAAGCCCCAGATGCCCAGACCAACTTTTTGCGTTTGGACCCGCCGGGTGTCTCCAAACTCCTCGCGGGCCGACGTCCACGATGACCTCGACGTCGACGACGACCATCCGGGCCGTCCACGTCGACGATGACTTTGACGCCGACTTCCACGACGATGACGTCGTGCGTCGACGGTGACGACGATCGTCGACGACGTCGACGTGGTCCACGTCCTGGCAGCGCATCCAAAGGGCGGCGGCGAGGCGCGGGAAGCTGCCCGCATGTGGCGCACAGCACGGCGAGGACCGTCCCCACGGAGAGCGGGAAGGCGCTCCCCGCGCCCACCTGCCGGGGCGACGCCGCCGACCGATATAGCGAGGGCCGACCGACTGATCGCACTGGCGGGCCTGCGGCCTGGCAAGGCTTCGGGCTGCGCACGAACAGAGGAGCAGGAGGAGCAGGAGGAGGAGAAGGATGAGAAGGAGAAGGAGGAGGAGGAGCAGGAGGAGGAGGAGGAGAAGGAAGTAGCAAGAGGAGGGACCAGGAGGGGAAGCCAGGTCACCGCATGGGCCCGAAGACTTTCGCGCCTCGCGCCACGCGTCGGGCGGGGGCCCGTCCCCAGCGTCGTCCCCTGCTGGGCGGCGCTTGGCTGTGCAACCGCCTCGGGGTGGGCACCCTGCCGATGGGTACTCGGTGGCCCACGTTTCTCCCCTGATCTCGGTGCGCCCCAAACGGGGCGTCGCAGGTGCCGAACCTCCGGGGCCATGACGAGGCGGATGTGCTCCCCCAAAAGCGGGGGCTCTGGCAATGGGCAACTGCCCCGTGGGCGGACCCCGCTCCTCGAAGGCCAGTTCTCGAAGGTCTTCCTCCTCCCCCCCTCGCAAGTTTCCCCTCCTCCTCCCCCTCCTCCTCCCCCTCCCCTTCCGCTTCCCCCTCCCCCTCCCCCTCCTCTGCTCCTCCTCCTCCTCCTCCTCCTCCTCCTCCTCCTCCTCCTCCTCCCTCCTCCTCCTCCCTGCTCCTTCTCCTGCTCCTCCTCCTCCTCCTCTTCCTCCTCCTGCCCCTCCTCCTCCTCCTCCTCCTCCTCCTCCTCCTCCTCCTCCTCCACACCCTCCTCACAACTTCTTCCTACTGGTGTCTTCTACTGCCCGCTCCTCCCGCACTGCTCCTCCCCCCAGACCTCCGACGGGCATGACTCGTTCGTCGCGGGCCCCTAAGGGCTCACGAACCCACCTTTGGACCCCGTCTTTTGTCCACGTCCTTCTTTGGGGCGCATATGGACATACCAAAACTGTGTGTCCTCCTCGGAAGCGTCCGTCCGACCAAGTCATGATGTACACTTGTCGTACATGTCTTCCCGAGCGGTATGGCCAGAAAGAGCAGGCCACGGAGCTTATACTATCACTTTCTCGACGCGCGCGCATCACCCCCGGTGGGGCGACACACACATAGTATGTGTACAGTCGAACTTGACTGGACAGGGCACGCGAGAGGACACAAGAACCTTCAGAGGGCCACATTGCCACAGGAATGTAGGAGACATGGGTCACGAGGCACAGGACACCAAGTATCCTTGATTTGGCAGGGTCGACCTACTAATCCCGGCCGGCTGTGTGCGGGCGTGACGCAGAGTGTTGTGGTCCGATCCTCGCCGACGTCGAGGAAAAAAGCGCACGCCGTGACTTCCCAGACGACTGCGGGAGGGGGCGCAGCGTCCTAAACCAACGTCCCAGGCCGTCCCAGACTCCCTGGTAGGAGGCCACATGCGAACCTTACCCCACCACCCCACGATTTCTAGTGGGGGAGGTGGGGTTCAATTCGCTCAGGAGGTCCCGAACAAAGTTAACCCTACCTCCCGCCTTTAGAAATCGTGGCCCAAAGGCCCAAATATTGCCCCAAAATGGCCCCTGCAGCTGAGTGAACCCGACGCGGGCGACCAACTATACAACGCAGCTACCATGAGCAAGTGTACCCATGTACTACTGGTCATCATCTCATCTTTCATGACAAAGTGACAGAACTACCTGTTTTGACATTTGGAATATTGCTGCGCGTGAGCCGTGCCGCCAATTTGAATCCAACACATGTGTTACTACCACTTGGCTCAAATGCTCTACTTCATAGCCGCTATGCACTTTACTCGGGACTTGGTACATGCATGGATGCAATACATGCGCACGCACTAGATCCATCGCGCGCGAACAAGCTATTGTTTTGTACGCTTCGTACGTGGTTTCTGCCAGGATGCCGAGAAGATGCCTGCGTATCGTTAAGTTGCGAGCTTCGCCCAGAATGAAGCAATGTACCTGCGTCGTAGATATTAACATGTGCAACTGGCAGTCACGGTCATGTCCTTCTCCTAAGCACTCTCCTTGTATTGATGATCGTTCCTCCTGTCCTCTTCACTCCATAATATCCCTCGTCCTTCCCAACTTCCGCGACCTCTCGGTAATTAGTCCTTTTCCGGATCTCTTGGAAACCTCTTGGAACATACACTCAATTGTTTTAGATTTGTCTGGGGAAGCCCTCGCCGTCTTGGCGCCGAGGAGGTGTTTCCAAGCAATCTCATGCTGGTCTTGCCAAGTAGCGGCTCACAGCTGCTGCAGCATGTTGCAGCGGTGTTGATTCATGGATGTTGCGTGGCGTGTTGGGAATTACCTCGACGCCTCTTGAAGGCTTCCAGGGGTAACACCAAGCTCCTTGGAGCTGCAAAGGGCCTTTGTGGAGGCTTGTCGGCGACCCGTTGCAGGCCTTTTGGAGCTGTTGGGGGCCCATCGAGGCGCGAAGAGGTGCCCGGGAAGCCCTATGCGTTCTTGGGTCAATGTCGCTGCCTCCCGAGCGACTCTCGGAGCGCTTCCGGGGGCGTACTGGGCGCCTGTTGCATCCTGGGCGCCTGTTGCATCCTGCCCGGGGGCTGTCTCCATGTCGAGTCATCACACTTCCACCAGAGAGGTTCCTCAGGGTTAGGAAGGGCTCGTCAGGACGCTGCGCTCTTAAGAATCCCACGGGCTTCCTCAAGATACCTCAGAATCCTTCACGATTCCGCCGAATCGAGGGCCATACTCGGGCACTATTATATTATCGGGGGGACGGAGGAGGACGAGGAGGGACGACGATTAGGACGCGGAGGAGGGGGACGAGGGGGAAGGGAAGAAGTGGGGGATACTGACAGTGAACCAGCGCAGCTCGGGGCGCTGGAACACGACTCAGCGACCCGACCCTACCAGACAGCACCCAAGGGGCCCTGGGACACACAAATAAATACACACAAATAAACGATTTCCCATATGTTCGTTTATTTCCTGGGTTTATGCCTTCCCCCCACTGCCCATATGTTCCTATATTTCCTGGGGAATCGACGATTCATTGTGCCTGTGTGTTTCTTCCCCTCCCGAAGCACGGGGCGTGCTCCTCGGCAAAGGTGCTGCTGCGATCGGCCCCCTCGCGCTGCCAGGGCTGGGGCACAGCTGACAGCTGGCCAGCATGGGCCCCTGGGGAGAGTCTCGGGACCGATGTGCGGCAAGGACACGAGGAAGGCGACGTCGGCGTCGTCGTCGACGTCGTCGTCGTCGGCACAGTCGTCGTCGCCGCGGACGCCTGCGCTGCCGCGCGCTCGTGCGCGTGTGCCCCGCGCGAAGGCGGAGGAGGAGGAGGAGAAGTTCTCGAAGGAGGAGGGGGCGGGAGGAGGATGGAAGGATGGCTCACTTGAGATTTGTCGGACAGCGCACACGCACGCGCACCTCTCGGAAGACACATTGCCATTGCCATGCAGAGCGAGGAGGCATGACCCTTTGATGGGTATCACGCTTTACCGTTGCTGCAAACTGCGCTGCTGCCGTGCTGGAAGAAAGATCGCCACAGTCAATCATAAGCTTGTGGCGCTCGCCGCGGATTTCTTGGATTTGCGATGCCCCCCACTCCCTGGCGCGCAAAGCGTTCCAGGGGCGGCGCCGGAGGCGCCGCCAGGGGCCCCAGCGCGGATCCGAGAAATCCGCGCGGAGCGCCTGAAGATAATGTTTACGTGGTTTTTTCCTCTTCGATGTAAGGCTTCCCCCCTGGATTATCCTGGGGGAGCAGAGAGATACCGATACCGCTACTCGCTGGACCTCTCCTGGGGTGCGCTCCGACCCGGAACTCGAGGCGAATCCAGCCGCGGCGACGAGGGACGGGCACCGGCAGCGGCATCTCCTTCCTCGTTGGACGGCCGCCACTGCCAACAGCCGCCGACACCCCCGCCGGCCGCGGCGCTCTTTCGCCGCGGACCGCCCCAGCACTCGCGCGACCCTCCGCGAACGACCGGGCCCACAGCAGCACGTAGCGCGCCTGAGGGGCAGGGCAGCGTATAGTTGGGCCCCCGAGTTACCCCGGATGATTCGGGGCTCTGGACGCCCGAATTATCCGGGGTAACTCGGGTCCGGGGTAACTCGGGTTCGGAGTCCCGAAAAGCGAACCCGAGTTAGCCCTGACCCGAGTTACCCCGGATGATTCGGGGCTCTGAGCAAAGGGTGGGGACGGGCGCCGCGGGGAGCAGCGAGCCTGAGCCCGGCGATGCCTCGCCGCTGCATCGGCGACGCGCCCCGTCGTAGCGAAACCGCACGCTCCCGGGCGGGGGGCGGGCCCTCGGGCCTCCACCGGCGATCCGCGCGGACCCCCGAGAAATTATGTGGTTACAGCGTCTCCTCCTGCTCCTCTGGCAAGAGGGGGGGAGGCTCAGGGGGGGCCCAGACGACGCCTGCGTCGCGGAGTAATCACGACGCGAGGGCTTTTGCTGGAGCTTCTCGGCAGCCGAGGAGTACCCTCGCTGGGCCCGAGGTTGAGCAGGGACCGACCGTCCAGGGCATTCCCATAGTCCGACCACGACATGACCTTAGAACCCAAGAGTGTTCTAAGAACAAAAACAATGTTCTTAGAGCAGTAACCCGATGTGTTCAAACAAGACAGCCTCAACCAGAAATGTTCTAAGAACATTTCGTGGAAACCACACAAGTGTATTAGAACACTGTTTGGTATGGCTACAGGCGAGCCAGGACGCTTCGCCACTGCTCGACAAGGAGCGCCAACAACACGACCCGGGACCACAGGCCGGCCCCGGGGAACGGGTCGGGGCGCCTGGGGACCCCGTACGGGGAAAAAGGAAAATATTGGCTGTCTGGGGGACGAGGCCTCCGACGAGCCTTATGGCAAGGCGTCGGGTTGCGCGCAGACCGCCCCACCGGAGGAGGAGGAGGAGGAGGAGGAGGAGGAGGAGGAGGAGGAGGAGGAGGAAGAGGATGAGGAGGAAGAGGATGAGGAGGAGGAGGGGAAGGGGGGAGAAGGAGGAGGAGAAGGAGGAGGAGGAGCAGGAGGAGGCGGAGGAGGAGGGGGCATGGAGTGTGATGATGTTGTTGTTGTTGTTGTTGTTGTTGTTGTTGTTGTTGTTGTTGTTGTTGTTGTTGCTGAACATTATTTATTCTAAAGAATAATTATTGTTGGGCCCCCTGGTGCGCGCCCCCCCTGCGCCGCCTAGGCCGCAGCTACATTTTCATCATTTTCGTGAGGAAGCCTCAGAAAAGAGGGTGTGTACAGGATCCGGTTGTTTTGTTGTAATCCGCTTTCCCTTGCAAAAAACAATAGAAAATGACATTTCTTGTTCTAATATAATCAAATTTCAAGAATCCCTTGCAAAAAATAAGGTAAAGTGGACATTCGCGCGCGCAAGACGAAATCCTTCCAAAACCTTAGTGTTCGCAGCGATTTTAACATAAAAACATCAAAAAACCAATGGTTTTTCAACAAAAAATTGTCAAAATCTCATCCCGCGCGCTCTTGCGGATTCGTAGGAAACCCAACACTTTTTAAACATTTCTGTCAAACGGGCTTTTGCGAGCAACTTTTTCGAACTTCTGCGACAACGGTTGCGCACCTGCCAGGGCCATCATCCCTGTCAAATAATACCATGCGGGACACATTCGTTTTTTCTTCGCGCGCGCACGCCGAAATCTCCAAAAACCATTGGGCTTCTTAAGAATTTTAGCACCGCGCATCATAAAATCACACGAATCGCACCGTAGGTCCTCGAAAAACACCTGCACGACTTTTCAAAATTTCTACCCGCGCGCGCTGTCCGAATCCTAAAAAAACCACTGGTTTTCCAACATTTATGTTACATGAGCTCGCGCGAGCTACGGGACAACCATCGGGACAATCATCGGGACAGTCATCGGGACAACGATCGGGACAAGCACAACCATCAGGACAACCATCGGGACAATCATCGGGACAACGATCGGGACAACCACAACCATCAGGACAACCATCGGGACAACCATCGAGACAACCATCGGGACAACCATATCCTCTCTCTCTTGTGTATTCCCACATCCCTCAGGAATTTGCCCTAAAGATGTGATCAACTATCTTGTGAGTACGTATCATGTGTATCATGTGTATCATGTACCATATGCATCATATGCAACAGATGTTCTGTGGAAGGCTTAACAACTTCTGTGGGTTAACAAGGCTTAACAACAAGGCTTAACAACTTCTGTGGGTGTACGAACGTAGGCTTAACAACTTCTGTGGGTGTGTACTCCACGCCAGTGTAGTAGCCACGGTCGTCCGCAGGCCACGAAGTGAAGTGTCCGAACGTCATAGGGCGGGAAGCTGGGTGTGGGTGGTGGCGAAGAGTCGTGTGGATATTTGGTAGAGCTTGCACTGCCCCCCCACAAAGTGGGGGTATTGGCTGGCGTCGCATGAAAACCCTGGCACTGGTGAGAACACTGAGCGTTCGGGTAAAGTGATTGTTGTTGTTGTTGTCGTTGTTGAGGTAGCCCCACCGGAGGAGGAGGAGGAGGAGGAGGAGGAGGAGGAGGAGGAGGAGGAACACCTGCCCAGAAGAAACCGCGCCCGAGGAGGGCGTGGGTTTCCTTCGGGGGCCCCTAGCACGCGCACCCTGGGGGCGCGGAGCACCCAGGGGGCGCCGCTGGAAGCGCCGCCGGAGGCGGCGCCAGGGAGCCGAGACCTCCCCTCCTCCTCCTCCTCCTCCTCCTCCTCCTCCTCCTCCTCCTCCTCCTCCTCCTCCTCCATCCCCCTCCCTCCCCCTCCTCCTCCTCCTCCTCCTCCTCCTCCTCCTCCTCCTCCTCCTCCTTCCCCATCCCCCTCCACCCTTCCCCTTCCTCCTCCTCCTCCTCCTCCTCCTCCTCCATCCCCATCCCTCCTCCTCCCAGGCCAGCTGGGCGACAAAAAGAAAGGGGTCTTAGGCGAGATGCCATAGCGGCCTGACGCCGCGGCTTAGGAGGGCCGCCAGCGCGGCACGCTGCTTCGGAGACGAGGGAGCTCAGTTACGCGCGACCTCTTGCGCGAGCAGCTTACGCGCCGACGTCGGTGAAGACGACCCCGTTCATTACCGTCGCTCAGCTGGGACTACCTGGGAAAAGGGGTGCTCTCCCATGAGATCCGACGTTGCAAAGACATTGTGCAACATGGTAGAAAATCACGACCGGACACCCGGACCCCATCTTTCTGCGTCACTTTTCGAGCCGGATCAATCTGTGAGGGCCCCAAGGCCCGAACTTGAGCGAAAACGCCCGGCTCGAAAGAAATGAGTCGCCGGGGTCTCAGGGCTACCGTGTTCCTGACCTTCCAGAGCGCTAAAACCTAGCACTCCATACCCGTATAGACCTGCCTAGACTGCCCAACAGCTCCACTGGAATTTGGGCCTCAAGATCCTGGTGCTACTTTTTAGCCCTCCTCCTCCTCCTCCTCCTCCTCCTCCTCCTCCTCCTCCTCCTCCTCCTCGATTGAAGGGGCCCTGGGACACACATATAAATACACACAAATAAACATATTCTCCATATTTTCCCATACCTTCTGGGTTTTTGCCTTCCCCCCCACCTCACACATTTTCCCACATTTTCTGGGGGATCGAAGATTAATTGTGTCTGTGTGTTTCTTTTCCTCCTGATAGTCCTCCTCCTCCTCCTCCTCCTCCTCCTCCTCCTCCTCCTCGATGGCTTCCCCCCGGGACGCCGTCTCCCCGGCGCCGGGGGCGCCGGCCGCGGCCGCGCCGGCCTCCGCGAGGCCGCCGGCGCCCTCGGGCCACGCGCCCACCTCGACGAGGCGGGCCACGGCCTCGGCGGCCGAGCGCAGGGAAGTGAGCAGGCGCGCCTCAGTGGCCGCGAGCGCGGCGGCAGAGGCGGCCACCTGGCGGCGGGGGCAAAGACGTCCACAGAGGCCTCCTACAGTCGAGGCGTTGACCTAAGGAACCCTAAATAAGGAACGAGGCCTCTTTTCTCCATAAGCTAAACTTCGATTTCCTGTCGAACACATAAGGAAAACCTGAGGCAAGCTGTGAAACAATTAAGGAACATCGAGCCCCTCCCCAATGAAAAGGGTTCCTTCTTCAAGACCCCTACTGTAGACGTCGCTCATGTCTGATCGGGCTCATTTCCAAGTGTGCTCGTTTCTAGGTGTTCTTGGCCCCCTGGTGGCCAGGGAGAGGCCCAGGATAGAACAATCAGAAATGAACGGATCTTGGCCCCCTAAAAAATAAAAAGGACTTGCGAATAAAAAGAAATGAACCATGTGTAGTTGGGGTTCAAGTAGATGGGGTCGAAGGATCGCGCCGCATCGTCGATGCATCGGCGTTGCGGCGCGATCCTCCGACCCCGCCTACTCAGACCCCATCTAGAAGGTCTAAAATCCAGTAAGAGCTCGAACGCAAGAAACCTTCCACGAGACACCCAGCCCTGAGACCTCAGGACGTCGATGGCTTTTTGGTGTGGGGGCGTCACGCTCTCCATAGAGCAGGGCCCTCGAAACCCGAGAAACCCCGGGGGCAAGCAGGGTGCCTCTTGGCAAGCGTTTCCACTGCACCCTGAGATCTGGGCGTTGCACTCTTCTTCACACCGGGCGTTTATCGCCCGGCTTGGGGCCCCGGGAGCAGCAGAACTCGACCGGGCTCGGAACGTGGCGCAGAGAGTCGGGGGGCGCTTCCCGCCCAGCCATAGGGGCCCGGGGAGCAGCACAGGTCGGCCGAAGGCTCGGAACATGGCGCAGCGGAGATGGGGCCCGGGGCTCTCCGGTCGCGCGGCCTCGGAGCGTGGCGTGGGGAGATGGGGGTCTATATGGGGCTCCTGCCGTGTGCTGCCGGACCACGCCTCTGCTTTTGTTGGTCGCGACGCCGGAGGTCCGAGCAGGCGATCGGCAGGCTACCAGGTGCCCCTGCTCACGCCCAGGCCCCACGACGAGGGGCACGGGTACTCCAGATTTCGTAATCAAGGGAGGGGGGTCTCATTTCGGGGGGGGGTCTCTTCCAGGCTATCTTGGAGGGCCTGGGGGGTCTGGGGACGATGTTTTGGAGGGTTCTCCCACGGGGGAGGTCTGAAATGGCTTGTCTTGGAGGGTCCAGACCCCCTCCCTTTTATTACGAAATCTGGAGTACACTCCTCGGGAGCCACGTCCCCTTGGCCGCGCCCTGCGCTGCCCCTGGCGCGCGCAGAGCGGGGGGCGGCAGCGGCAGGGGCACGCCTCGAGCACCGATCGCCGCACCTGCCCGTGGCGGCCAGGACCCAGACGAGCTCGCGTCGTGAAGAGAACATCGGACTGCCCACCCGACCACCCCAACCCATCCCGAAGACCCGACTTTCGGGTGGGGGGGGGGTTGTACGGGTTCCGTGTGTTTTGTCTCGATGCTTCCCGACTCCCCCCCAACTGGAAATGGAGGGCAAATTGAAGCCTTTGGGTTGGGTCGGGGTGGTCTGGTCGGTGGTGAAACTCCTGACGGGACTACTCTTGGACGCCCGCCTGACCGCGACCAGAGCCCTGAGGCGCGCGAGGGAAAGTGGACCCGCAGAGTGATGAGGAGAGGCTTTCCAACGGTACCCCCCTTGCATCCTTGACCCTTCGGCCCATCCTTGGCGACCTTCGCTGGCCCTCCTCGCTCGGAAAACGTCGACATGGCCCTCCAAGGCCCTTGCATCCTTACCGGTGCATCCTTATCATAATGAAGGGGCCCAAGGACACACGCAAATACAGACAGACCCAAGGATTCCCGACACTTTCCCGTAATTATTTTCTGTGGTGTCGTTGTCACCCCCCACTTCCCATATTTTCCCATATTTCCTGGCGATCGACGATGAATTGTGTCTCTGTGTTATTTCCCCTCCTGATAGAAGGGTTGTCTGCCCCCCCCCCCTGGAGCTGCCCGCCCCTTGTGGCAGTCGCAAAAAAACGTCCCACGGGGAAACCAAAAGGCACCGAGTTGCCGTCGGGGCGTTGACCTCAGGAACCCAGAATAAGAAACGAGGCTCCTCGCCGGGACCACCCACCGCGCCCCCACCGCGTCTGACATTCCCAGCCTTCTGAAGCCCCTGGGCATAGGTTTCTAGGAGCCACCCACCCTGCAAAATCCTCGCCGGGACCTCCCACCGCGCCGCCACCGCGACAGACATTCCCAGCCCCCCTGAAGTCCCTGGGCATAGGTTTCAGGAGCCACCCAACCTGCAAAATCCTCGTCGGTACCCCGCACCGCGCCATCACCGCGTCTGACATCCCCAGCCCCCCTGAGGCTTCTGGGCATAGGTTTCTAGGAGCCACCCACCCTGCAAAATCCTCGCCGGGACCCCCCACCGCGCCCCCACCGCGTCTGACATTCCCAGCCCCCCTGAGGCCTCTGGCTATAGGTTTCTAGGAGCCACCTACACTGCAAAATCCTCGCCGGGACCCCCCACCGCGCCCCCACCGCGTCTGACATTCCCAGCCCCCCTGAAGCCTCTGGGCATAGGTTTCTCCCACCATGCAAAATCCTCGCTGGGAGCCCCACCGCGCCCCCACCGCGTCTGACATTCCCAGCCCCCCTGACGTCTCCGGCCATAGGTTCTAGGAGCCACCTACCCTGCAAAATCCTCGCCGGGGCCCCCCGCCGCGCCCCCACCGCGTCTGACACCCCCAGCCCCCCTGAGGCCTCTGGGCATAGCTTTCACCCACCCTGCAAAATCCTCGCCGGAACCCCCTACCGCGCCCCCACCGCGTCTGACATTCCCAGCCCCCTGAGGCCTCTGGGCATACGTTTCTAGGAGCCACCCACCCTGCAAAATCCTCGCCGGGACCTCTCACCGCGCCCCACCGCGTCTGACATTCCCAGCCCCCCTGAAGCCTCTGGGCATAGGTTTCTAGGAGCCACCCACCCTGCAACATCCTCGCCGGGACACCGCGTCTCACATTCCCAGCCCCCCTCAGGCCTCTGGGCATAGGTTTCTAGGAGCCACCCACCCTGCAAAATCCTCGCCGGGACCCCCCACCGCGTCTGACATTCCCAGCTCCCCTGAAGTCTCTGGGCATCGGTTTTTACGAGCCACCCACCCTGCAAAATCCTCGCCGGGACCGCGCCCCCGCCGCGTCTGACATTCTCAGCTCCCTGACGCCTCTGTCCATAGGTTTCTAGGAGCCACCCGCCCTGCAAAATCCTCGCCGGGACCCCCCACTGCGCTCCCACCGCGTCTGACATTCCCAGCCCCACCGAAGCATCTGGGCATAGGTTTCTAGGAGCCACCCACCCTGCAAAATCCTCGCCGGGACCCCCCACCGCGCCCCCGCCGCGTCTGACCCAGCCCCCCTGAGGCATCTGGGCACAGCTATCACCCACCCTGCCAAATCCTCGCCGGGACGCCCCACCGCGCCCCCACCGCGCCTGACATTCCCAGCCCCCCTGAGGCCTCTGGGCATAGGTTTCTAGGAACCACCCACCCTGCAAAATCCTCGCCGGGACCCCCCACCGCGCCCCCACCGCGTCTGACATTCCCAGCCCCCCTGAAGCCTCTGAGCATAAGTTTCTAGGAGCCACCCACCCTGCAAAATCCTCGCCGGGACAATCCACCGCGCCCCTACCGCATTCCAGCCCCCTGGAGGCCTTCTGGCATAAGGTTTTCTAAGGAACCACCCACCCTGCAAAATCCGCCGGGACCCCCACCCGCGCCCACCACCGCGTTCTGGGACATTCCCAGCCCCCCTGAGGCCTCGGTCCGATCTGGTTTTTAGGAGCCACCCACCTCCTGCAAATCCTCGCCGAACCCCCACCGCGCCCGCCGCCGCGCCTGACATTCCCGAGCTCCCTGAGCCTCTGGCATGTGAATAAATGTTCTAGGAGCACAACCCACGCCTGCAAAATCCTCGCCGGTACCAACCACCGCGCACACACCGCGTCTGACATTCCCAGCCTTCTGAGCTCTGGCATAGGTTTTCTAGGTAGCCACTCCACGCCTGGCAAAATCCTCGCCAAGGACCTCCTCACCGCGCCGCCACTACCATCATTCCCACAGCCCCCTGAAGTCCCTGGGCATAGTTTCAGGAGCCACCCAACTGCAAAATCTCGTCGTACCCCGCACCGCGCCATCACCGCGTCTGACATCCCATCCCCCCTGAGGCTTCTGGGCATAGGTTTTCTAGGATCCTACCCCCCTGCACATCCTCGTCCGGCCCCCACCGCGCCCCCAACTCGCGTCTGACATTCCAGCTCCCCGCTGAGGCCTCTGCCTATAGGTTTCCTAGAATGCCACCTACACTGCAAAATCCTCGCCGGACCCCCCACCGCGCCCACGCGCGCCCACGCGTCTGACATTCCAGCCCCCCTGAAGCCTCTTGGCATAGGTTTTTCCTCCCCACCATGCAAAAATCCTCCCTGGAGGCCCACTCGCCCCCCCGCTCTGACATTCCAGCCCCCCCCTGAACGTCTCCGGCCATAGGTTCTATGAGCCACCTACCCTGGCAAAACCGCGCCGTGGCCGCCCCACCGCGCCCCCACCGCGTCTGACACCCCCAGCCCCCCTGAGGCCTCTGGGCATAGCTTTCACCCACCCTGCAAACCCCCCTGAGGCCTCTGGGCATACGTTTCTAGGAGCCACCCACCCTGCAAAATCCTCGCCGGGACCTCTCACCGCGCCCCCACCGCGTCTGACATTCCCAGCCCCCCTGAAGCCTCTGGGCATAGGTTTCCAGGAGCCACCCACCCTGCAACATCCTCGCCGGGACACCGCGTCTGACATTCCCAGCTCCCCTGAGGCCTCTGGGCATAGGTTTCTAGGAGCCACCCACCCTGCAAAATCCTCGCCGGGACCCCCCACCGCGTCTGACATTCCCAGCTCCCCTGAAGTCTCTGGGCATCGGTTTTTAGGAGCCACCCACCCTGCAAAATCCTCGCCGGGACC